TTCTTCCACTGAAGCTGCTTTTATTTAAAAATTTATAGCAAAAAGAGGGTAACTTATATTTTCTATTGCAACAGGGCCTTTTAACTTTAAAACCTATTATATTTTGATATTGATTTTTTTTCCGATTTTATTTATTAAAACTATTCTATACTTATTATATAGTGGATCGATTTTTTTGTCGGCAAAAGTCCTTGTTCGTAATTAGTTTTATATAAATGGAAAACCAAATAATTTTCTTTTTTATATAATAATTAATTATCTATTACATAATATTTGATTGAGTTAATATTTTGTATTAATATAATATATTTCTTTTTCAGTATATATTATATAATCTTTTACGTTCAAGGAATATTATTAAAAAGGAAATAAAAATAAATGAATATTTTCATACATCACTTTTTCAGAATTTCATAAAAATTAAATAATCAGTTTAATTTTGAAAAATTTCATTCTAAAATAATTGTTTTATCGCATACATATTGATATTAGAAATTTAATTATATCGCTTTATTTAAAATTATTCATAGCCTTAATAAGTTCAGGTTATATAGATAAGGTCAAGGTGAAACTATCTCAGAAAGGCGATAGTTGTTGCTAATTCTGGTTGACCTGTCAATTTTGGATAACTTGTCTCGTGCTTTATTCACTTCCCTTTGCTTTTCATTGCACTGAATTTTCAAATATTATACGAGGCATATATATATATGTAGTCTAAAAAGCTTGGAATACGTTTAGTAGAAAATAAATCTCAACATATTTAAATTATTTATATATAGGTTTATATTTAACATATATTCAAATAATGCTAAATGTTTCCAACTATTGATTTTCGTTTCAAAGTATGGAAAAAAAATGTTAAATGAATTATATATTTAAATTTGATTATTATTTTTTTAAATTATACAAATGTAATAAATTAGGAAAAACACCAATAATAATATATTTTAATTTGTTTAATTTGTCCCAAAGAATTTGAGATACTGGAAATATTGTTTAAAAAAAACCATTAATTTTGGTATGTAGTAAATTAGGAAAAACATCAATAATAAATATTTTTTTTTAATTGTATTTTATAATTTTCTCCAAAAAATTATTTTTTTATTATCCTTATATGCTCTTTATAATATATAACAGAATTGTTAACCTATTTTTTCAGATATATTTTTGGATAAAAAAGTATGTATATGTTATAAATGTACAATATTGCAAAATGTAATATAACAATTTTGAATACAATTTGTTTTATGCTTTGAAATAAAAAAATAAGTTAAAAAAAATACATATTGAGATAAAAAAAACCGTTGATGTCTAATTCAACTGAATATTACATTATGCAATTTTATAATCATGAGTTCAGTGACGTTGACAAACGTTTGTCTGCGAGACGAATGAAAGTCCGCAGATGTAATTCTACCCACAATTGGTCCCTTATTGAACAATCATTGAAAAAATACAAATGTCATTGACTATATATATATATATGTATATATATACTTCTTTTCAGACGGTTGCAATTTTTTTTTTTTTATTATTTCTCTCACAGGGAAGATCAAATTCATTGGACCTTGAAGTGACATATGGCATGTTCAACACAAAGTTGACATTTTGTCTGCAACATTGTGTATAAAGAAAAATATAAAAAGTTGCATTTAAAACTAAAAAAAAATGTTTAATATTTTGAAAAAAATTGAAGACAAAAAATAATAGTTAAAAAAAATTATCGAATTTGTAATTAATGTCTGCGATAACTGTGACCTGATATAAAAAAAAAACAGTATCGCTAATTACAGTAATGAATACACAATGTCTATGGAGGGAAAAATGAATGTCTATAGGTACAAATTAGTACCTTTCAGTGGTCATGTAACAATTTGTATAAAGAGAGTGACGTTAATGTTCTTTTTTTTCGAAAAAGTTAAAAGACCCTCGAAAGTGGATTTCTTGAGAGAACAGAGAGAAAGAAGAAGATAGAGAGAGAGAGAGTGAGAAAGAGAAAGGGTGGATGAAGGAGAGTATATAAGAAGTCGGTGCAACCCTTTCAGTCTCGTAGACGGCACATCCGGTAACGAGGCCTATACGCACGATTACGGATGTACGTGGGCTACATGTAGCTATAATACAAGCGTTACATTCATATCCATACAATATATATACATATATATATATACAAATATATATCTGAATGTATATAAGGCAGATACAAACGGCTGTGGAAGCGCGTACTGACTGCTGCGCTCCCGATAAATGTTTCAGGGTGCAATTAAGTACCAACAACAATAAGAAACCAACCCCTCGGCCTCGGCAGTCGCATATTAATTCGATTTTAATTGCATCGGGAAATAAAACATACGGCCAAGCAGGACACACCTGTGCTCAGTAGTCTTTCTGACAATACACGTGGAACTATATATATATATAAGGGTATTTCTCTCTATTGGCCCTCTAATAAATAAATTCTCTATATCTTCCTCATTCAGAGGTCTATGACATTTTATTTATTCAATTCTACTTCTATATTTGCTAGTCCTCTGCATTTATAATCAATTATACCAACTTGATCATATCAATTGATAATGAGAATATGTTTGTATAATTTAAAATTAATCTTTAGAGAAAATTTTCTTCTATGTATAAAATTTCTTTTGAATTTCTTTACAACCTTTTAATTTTACTAGATTAAATTACTTATTTATAAGATAAATTATTTTAATAATAAAAACACAATCAATTCGGACTTTATTTTACCTGCAAATGGGACAAGAACTCCCTTTCACGAGAAAAAAAGATAGAAAACCACCGGAAATACTAGAGGTGCAAATTCCATTTACAGAATGAGAAATCGCTTGATGGGCCATATTATAACTGGGAATTAAACGTTTCAGGATTATTGATCACCCGAGGCTCTTCTCAGTAAAAGTATAGACAGTGAACTTTATATATATATATATATATAAGTATTGTAAGCCACGCAAAACATTTCTTACGTGACTTCGTTTTACCGCCTACAAGTCGATATTTTTAATAACAGTCTGTTATTCCATCGTCTTTATATCCTTTTATTCCAATGGTTTTCGAAATACACTATACTACTGATCAATATAATATTAAGATGGAAATATATATTTACGGAATACATTGTTTTTTACAAAAAAAAAAAGAAAAATGATGTAATCTCTCTTGTTTTGATTAAAAAATATTATAAAACATCCCTTACTCTCGAATCCCTCACCCACTCTCTCTCTCTCTCTCTATCGCATGTCCCTCAGATTGAGAGGAATTCTCAGATGAATCGGCGATTGAATAAAAGATGAATCGTCCGGCATCGTTGTTGAGTATGCCCGGGGTAAAAAAGCTCTGGGAAGAATGTCGATATTAATAAAAGTTAAATTGAGCCAATCGCTTGTGGAAATTACAATCGAGTGCATTGCCGCCGGGATAGAAGAAGTCGAGAGGGCCCCCGGAATCAAGGAAGAGAGAGGCGAGCAAAAGAAAAATAAAAAATTATTAGTTTCAAGTTTATAAAAAGTTTTCATTCCACCGCGAATAGAAAACATTTATAGAAAGGGGTTAAACAGTATACAAAATAATTATAATATCAAATGGTAAAAAATATAAATATTGAAAATATAAATTTTCCAAAATTGATGTCTATATGTATATTAATTTATTTAACCAATTATCTAATTAACTAATTTATTTAATCAATATTGCTGTAAGTTACAGATCAACTGTTATCTACAAAAATTTATATATATATGTATTTTTTGATTTGATTTACTACAGGAATGGAACATATAAAGGACCAAAGTGTAAAATTTTATTAAGTGTATATAACTAAAATTATCTTTATATATGATATTGATGTAATTTTTGTTATTAGAAATATTATTTTACTGTTTTACATTATACTGTTATCCAATTGACTATACATTGAATATTTAGAATTATTTCGATTGTATTTTATTGTAAAAATAATTTTTTTTTAAATTTATATTTTATAATTTTCAAAATTTCAAATTGTTTCAGTAAAATCATTCACTGATTGTAATGTGTTGAATTAGGAAAAACACCAATAATAATATATTTTATATTTCTATAATTTTCCAAAAATTGTTTCAGTAAAATCATTCACTGATTGTAATGTGTTGAATTAGGAAAAACACCAATAATAATATATTTTATATTTCTATAATTTTTCAAAAATTGTTTCAGTAAAATCATTCACTGATTGTAATGTGTTGAATTAGGAAAAACACCAATAATAATATATTTTATATTTCTAATATTTTCTAAAAATTGTTTCAGTAAAATCATTCACTGATTGTAATGTGTTGAATTAGGAAAAACACCAATAATAATATATTTTATAATTCTATAATTTTCCAAAGGAAATTATATTAAAATTAATTTATAATTTTTTTAAACATACAATTATTTATGTAAACAGTTTTTAAATGATGTAAAGTTTTTTTTATACTCAATCTAATTTTTGAAGTAATATATGAAAAATACATGTCCGTCGGACAAAATGTTTGTTATTATATGAATATGGTTTTAAAGATGATGTTCTAAAACATTGATGCTAATTTCTTTGATTTTCCTCTTACAGTATGTACCTTTGTTTTTGTATTAGGCGCAGAATAACTGTATACACATCTTTTTTCATGTTTTATAAAGCAACTATTGTACTTTACACTTTTCCTTATTAAAAAAAATTTAGAAACACGTTTTCATTAATATTAAAGAAAAAAAAATTATTCACTCCACATCTCTTAAATTGTAAATAAATTTTTTAATTTGTATAGAACAAAATATTTATCAAATAGTCAATCCGCAAAAACAAATTTTCCAGAAAATTGTTTTTTTGTTTCATATATATATATATGTACATGAATGTGATATATTTTTTTTTTAAGTTTTTCGAGAACTTTTTTCAGCTATAAACTTGGGTAATGACAGAGCTTAGCCGGCTCTAATCAAAGGTGTTCTGATTGCAGGTGAACGGCCCTATAAGTGCCACCTTCCTGATTGCGGGCGGGCCTTCATCCAGCTGTCGAATCTCCAGCAGCATTTGCGGAATCATGACGCGCAGGTGGAACGGGCGAAGAACCGGCCGTTCCACTGTAACATTTGCGGCAAGGGCTTCGCAACGGAGTCCAGCCTCCGGACCCACACGTCGAAGGTCAGTCATGTATGTACCAAATCCGACGTCCAAGATCGTTACCGCATTTTTCAACTCAATGAGTGACAATGACGCGAGAGCAGGTTCCAGTTTTTTAAAAAAAAACAAATGAAAGAGAAGTAGAACGTCTAGCGAGCTCGATTAAAACAAAAAAAAAAAAAAAAGAAAAAAAAATTCAAAGAGAAGGGAAAATCTTTTTCTTATTGTATATATATATATATATAAAATTTTTTCCCAACTCTTTGACATAATCTGGCTCGCAATACGTCTCATCTATCTATTCTCGCAAATGGGCATTTCAAACTATCATTCTTATTAATAACAAAAACATCAGTGCAATTATTAATATCTCTTTTTCAATGAGAAATTGACACTGATAAAAATTTTACTGAATTTTCAGTTGTTTTTCTTTTATTTTCTCTTTTCTAAATTCTAAATTATTTCCAAATTGTTCAAAATTTTTGTCAACCAATTTCTCAATGATTTGTGTTTACGAGTGGCATATAAATATGGTGGTGGGTCACGCTTGGATCGAGGAAGTGTATTTTCTTTAGTTTTTTTCTTTTCACATTTTCTTTAAAATTTTTTCCAAAAAAAAAAAAAAATTCTTTTGTGTATGCTTTAAATGTTTTTTTATTTTTAATGACAAAAAATGGGTTATTTACTCTCTAAATTTGAATCAGTGAGATTTCGCTGATAAAATAGTTGGAATTTTTAGCAAGTAAATAATACTTCAGTTATAAATTTTTACTGAAATATTCAGTCGAATTATTACTGATTTAAATAGTCAAATTATCATTAAACGGTAAAACAGATTCGCTTGATTAAAACAGTGACATCTGTTTTATTGACCAATGATAATGCAGATTTGATGGCTTAAATTAGTAATAATTCGACTGATTTTCAGTGAAAAACATTGTTTCAAAAGAGAGTTTGGACTTGTTTTTTACTTTTTTCACTGCCACTAATATATAGGTCATTAAATGACCCTAAAGGGACATTTGTTTCATTTGGAAAAAAATTTAAAGAAAATCTAGTAGTCTAATTAGTCCTAATTTTTTTTCTGTAATTTATTATAAATTTCCCTATAATATAAGAAATGTAGATGAGGCAGGGTTCGAAGCTTTCGTGCGGCTCGCGGTTGTCCCAAAGAAAAACAAGGAAGCTTTTTATATGTATATATATATATATATATATATAAAAGCGAACGATATCACACACGGACTTTGAAGTCTTAAAAATTCTTTTACGAATTCGAGATAGCGTCTCTCTTTCATTGAGTCGTTGACCCCCGAGAATGCCGTGCGATGAGCAACACCCCTCTCTCTTTCTCTCTCTCTCTCTCTCTATGTTGATTATCACCAAAGTGCGCACTTTACCAATCACGCTATATTCAATATTTCTATAGTATATTAGAATCTCATAATATTCTCAAAAAATAATGGGTTTCCAAAAAAAGGTGCTTGGGTAAATCTGCTTTTAACTAAAAAAAATTCCACTAAATATATATAAATCATCTTCAATAAGGCAGTAGAAAAAAATATTTCTAATTTTTTTATTAGCAATTAAAAAAATGCAAGTTGTGAAATTAAAAATAATAAAAATTAAATATGAAATAGTAAAAAAAAAAAAAAAATTGTCAACAAAATATCAGGGGTGAGAGAGCATCGTGGATCATTATCTCAAAAGTTCATTGTTCCTAAAACTGGTCCTAGTGACGCACGTGTAAAACATTAGTTAAAAAAAAAGAAGGGGAAGGTGACGGTGGAAATTAAGAATAAGAAGTTAAAAAAAAATCGGGAAAAAATTTATCTCTCTCTCTCTCTCTAATCAAATTCACCCCTTTGAACAATATAAAAGTTCGACGAGGCTTAGACATCGGAATCTCAGAGGACTTTTTTTTGCGCTGCCCAACTGAAATTTCTCAACCCTTTACACGCCGGGCACATGTCTCGGCGAAAAAACGTGGGAAGGCATCTGCTGAGCGGTTCAATTCTCATCTCTTATACAACCTTTCTTTCTCTCACCTTAGCCCCTTTACTTATCCCATCCTATATGTACACATGTATTTTCAAATTTCCCCTTTGCTGTGTCACTTCTATTAAACAATTATTTTTCATTTTTTTCAAATTGAAATTGAAATTACGTTTCTTAAACAAAAAATACTTTTCAACTTTTAATAAAAATAACAATTCTTTTTATTTTTACTTTCAAGAAAAATCTCATAATTTTTATTAAGTTGATTTTTCTTTTCTCTTTTGACATTGATGTAAATTCCTTTGGCTCTTCTACTCATCTTTCCGCATAAGTTTTCTCATCCCCCTTTTTTGACTTGACGTTGATCCAGCAACACGTTGCGCGCATTATTATACCTTAGTGGCAATAAATATCGCTCTTTCGCATTTTAACACCCTTGGATTTTTCTCTATGGTTATAACCTCTAATTGAAATCTAATCCGCAGTTAAAACCTTGTTCAATTTTCAAGAGAATATTTTGCCCTTCCCCGATGCCTCGATAAATCAGTCTCGCATAATCTAACTATTTTTTTATTCGCCTAACACAATTCGAATTTGTTTTGTTTCTGTGTAAAAAGTTAATAATTTTTTCAAAAATTGTTTTCTCTTAATAAAAAAAAAACCGTTATATTAAATTTACAGTAATATATAAAATTTTTGCGATCCCCCCTCACCCCCCCGGAAAAAGGAATGTTATTACATATTTCCCGGGGAGAAAATATGAAAACACACTTTTCCGTCTGGTTTGTAAAATTTAAAATTCCTCTCTCTTTCTCTTTCTTTCTGTATAAACATTCCGCTAATTAAGCTTTTGCTTTCAAGCGACGCGCGATTTTAAAACAGAGATTGGTTTGCGAGTGGAGAAAATTGTTGGGAAAATGTTAGAAAACCCCGGCTATTTTCACAGAATCCGACGGCTTTTAAAATTAGTTTCTTTACGGCGACACTCTCTGCTAGTTGATTCCCTCTACCGGATTACCGCAGAAATAAAATATCGCGTTGCACTTGTACAAGCACAAGGAGGGGGGACGAAAAGGGGGGACCAGGGTGTAATTAAAACGTTGCCGCGTGCACGAGAGAGAAGAAGAAGAAGTGAAACAGTGAGACCCCGAATCCCGTGTACCATCGCTTATATCTCTCTTCCACTTGTTTTTCAACCCATTTCAATCTATCTCACTCTCGTTGTTGAGATGAGAAAATAAAATGATGAAACAAATGGAAAGCACCAGCCCATCTTGCCCGGGTCTAATCGAATTTTCACGAAGCAGATTTCTTGAAATTGTTTTCGCTATTTTCGTCCCGGAAACCTTCTTATACACACAGTTACTTAAAAAAAAAAAAAATATTTCAATTTTTTTCCCTCTTTACTGTTTTTTTAAATTTTTATAAATTGTTGAAAAAATGGTTAAAGTTTAAATTTCAAACAAAACTAGAATCAAAATTTAATTGGAATTTTTTTTTTTGATAAAATTTTTAGATTCAAAGAAATTTTTTATTTGAGTTCAATAAACGTATATTTGTCTCAGACCATTTAATTGGAGTAAATAAAAATTTCATTTCATTAAAAAAATAAAGAAATTAAATAACTAGTTTTGAGGAAAAAAAATGAGCTTAAAAAATATGTTAATTTTTTACATTGGTTATATAAACGCAAAATTGACGCGTTATTGTAAGTAAATGCTTCCTACAGTAACACTATAAATCAGTCCATTGAGCAGTCAATCGAGCACTTCTCATCTCTTTTTTGTCGTTTATCACAGTTTTTTGCGCGCTTCCCTTCACCTCATTCTCGTCATCCTTTTCCCTCTCTCTTTTTTTATCTCTCTTTCTCTTTCTCGTTTCCTGAACCTTACTCGTTTACCCACTTTTACATTGAATTTATTCGTAGTTTAGCCTTATATACAGGGGTTGAATTCCGTGCAACACGATACAACCCTTTGCTGTCTTTCACCAACCCCCCTCATCCTTCTTCTTCTTCTTACCCCATTCTACTTAACGTTTTCTTAATTGTTCTAGAGCGCCACTTTTCAGTAAAATCTCGTTAGCCATATTGAGATTTCTTTTTTTTTATATTTATATATACACACTTCATTTCAAAACACACTCTGTACCATGTGACTTCCGGTATAAATATCGAAATATATATACATAGACGTCAGAACCATATTTTCTTTCATAATTCAATCCCCTTGTACAAGATATATATATATATATATATATATATATGTTGAGAATAAATTATACAATCATGTTTCGTAATGTTTTAGCTAATCAATATATAATTCAGATTTCCGCGTAATCTTTCTTTCATCAGGAAATTTCTGTAAATTATAATTTTTTTTTTTTTTCTATAAAAATGACGCATTTTTTTTGGATATTTGTTAACGATTTCCAATTAAGCAAGGTTCCATTCGCGGTAAACATCGACGGCTGGCGAATCTCCAGGAGAATCGCACTCTTTGTCTCTTTTGCGGCATTAAAATAGAAAAGTGGGACGGCCTTTCGTGGTCGGAACGTTCGTAAATCGCCACACACTGGTGAATTCACATTCGCTAGAGCTTCTATTCTCGAACTTCCTCCCACCTCTAAAATTTTTCTGCGCCCCACTTGAAAATTCTAGTAGTAGTAGTAGTAGTAATTTTTTTTCTCGACTCCACCCCTCTTCAATCGATTCAAATTTCTTTTTTATCCCCACCCCCCCTTTGGCTTGTAGGTACCACCCTAACACCAAAAGGGTTTGTGTAATGAAATCATTCTCGTTTGTCGATTTTGACGGGGTTGGATTTTTCTATTGTAACCCCCCTTCGTCCTTCCCTCCTCCGCCTTTCTGGTTATGTAACAATCAAAGGGGGAATCGTGTATTGGCACAACATGATGAGGCTCCCTTTTCAAAAAATTTTTTTCTCTCCCATTTCGACACGTGTTACTCGCGGATTATACCAGAACTCTCTTCGAGGCGTATATTTCAGAACAAGAGAGAGAGAGAGAGAGAGAGAGAGAGGGAAAAAAAGAATATTGAATACGATGTATCAGGTTTGGGAACAATTGCTTCTCGGCTCAATTAAAATGCATTTGTTTCCCTTCGCCTCTTGTATTGTGACTCAACTTCGTTTTCACGCGTGGTCGCAGAAAAAAATCACATTTTTTCCACCCTTATTCACGCATCAATGACATATTATATAGTATAATAGTTCTATATTGACTTTAGTTATCTTAAAAAGAAATAGGAATGGTTTTTTTTATTTCTTAAAGTAAACTCGAGAAAATATTTGATTCCTTCTTTATTTTTCGTTGGAATATAAAAGAGAGAGAGAGAGAGAGAAATGTAACTTCGCGGGAAAGTATTTACGTTTCATTTTCCTCTCGGCAATCGTAAAAGCAAGACCAAAGGAGAGAAAGAAAGAATGTTTGCAAGGTGAGATACGAGGGGCGAGCAAGTATCTTTCAGGCAGCCAAAGTATCGTACGAAGGTTGTCTGCCGTCGAGGCTCGCGGCCTCGTCGAGACCAAAAAAAGCCAAGGAAAAGAAGGAAAAAAAAGAAATGAGAAAAGAATTGCACACCACAAGACCTTCAAGCCTACAGTATATAAGTGCACAAGTAACTGAAAGAAAGACCTCGGCTTCGGTCCGCTTTAATTTCAGCGAGTCCCATCCATGGAATTTACACCAAACTCATGAAAAAAAAATAAATAAAGCGCCCACGTTCTATATGCCTCCGGATTCTTTGAAAATATATATTTTTTTTTGCAAATTTATAATGAGAATTTGTAACAATTCCTGAAATTGTAATTTATTCAACAAGATTTTTTTTTCCACGAAAGAATATATAACCTAATGCATTGTGGATGCAAAAGAAAAAGAAAAGATTTGCATGCGAGTCTTGCAATCTGTGGAGAGCAATGAACTGCAAGCAAGACCTTCGCTTTAATTTTAGACCTACGGAATTGAGTTTTACTGAGTTTCGCAGCCAAATAGAAGAAATCATTTATTATTTGAAGAAATGAAGAAAAAAAACTCGGTAACATACAAAGTCCATTTTCCTGATGCAAAGTATGGTTAACATTCTCATATAATACTATATATATATATAAGAAGGATGAATTTTGCGTTTAAAAAAAGAAACATTATTTTGTTGAAAGGTCAAAAAAATTATATGATGGTAAGACCATGAAAAGAACAGGAAAGAAAAAAAAAAGAATTGCGCAAACCCGCGGGACCTTCGGTTATTGCAAGTGCAGGGCGAGGATCTCAACAATCTCCACGGCAATTTCGGCATGAAACGAATCTCATGACATATATAAAAAAAAGACTCACTGCGGTCTCATATACTTTCTTATAACCAAGGTCAAGACAAATGGCCACTATAAAATCACAATTAACATCTGCAGTTAAAGAGACGAGTGTAATTATATACTCTTTTAAAAAAGAAAAGAAAAAAAAAACAAGTTTCATGTCACATCAGAATCGAAATTTTAATTCATTTAATTAAAATTAAATTTTAATGTTCTTTTGTATCGTTAAAAGTGATATGAATATATTTCCAGTATTTCATGATCATAGAATAAAAAATAACTTTAGTTCTTAAAATTTGAGGCAAAATTTTGAAAAATTAAAAAAAAATAATTTAAAAAAAAATACATTATTTACACTCATATTTTTAAAACAACGATTTTCAGTTCCACGGGTTTATCAGTTGAAATATTGTTTCAGTATTCAATATTTGGTATGTGATTTAGGAAAAATACCAATAATAATATTTTTTTTTAAATGATGATGAAATGATGATTTTCTGAAAAAGAGAAAGTTGATGTATTATTTCAGTAAAAAGAAATTTTTAGTTATTAATAATAATACATTTTCAATTTGTTTTTCTTTGATAATTACTTAAAGAAACATGAAGAAAAGAACGAAATGTATTTAAGAGAAGAACAACAAGGCAATCCATATTGAAAATAAAAAGTAAATGTATATATGAATTGTATTAGATACTCGAAAGGGCCCCCCTTAGTGAGTCTTGGTTTTATTTGCAATGAGATTGTGAGAAAGTTTTCCAAGGAAGCATGATTGGATTCATCGAACTTGTTGTAAATACACCATCATCTTTGAATAAGACCCCAGGGATACTTAAGAAGTATTTGAACCACTTGCTCATGAGGATATACCGTTCCAGTATATATGAAGGTGTGTGTATATATATATCGCACTCTCATTCTATAAAACATCTAAACATGTACAGCACATAGAAGAAAGAGCAAAGATGGTTTCTTCTCCTCGAGCACAAAATGGCTACATCGTGTCCGACGTCACGCATCGCTACGCGTGTGCTCACACCCACTTCCTTTTTATGCCACTCCCTGGCCCAAAACCTGGTTTAGACATTGAAGAGTCTAGACAAGCTTTATATACCTTCTGCTCTCGAATTTGCTTTCAAATCGGTAACACAAGACGAGACACTCGTGTACCGAAACCATCATCTCGTCACGCATTTCCTGGTGACTGTCTTTTTCAACATCTGTCAAGATATAAAAATCACTCTCTATTATTAGTAAATTGTTTCTTCATTTGAAAAGAAAAGGAAAGATAAAAAAGAAACGGAAACTTAATCTGATATATATGCAAATAGTATTTATAAGATAAAAGATATTGATTATAACTGTTGTTGCGATGAAGATCTGATCAGATTTCCCAACGAGTTTCTAAAAGGAAAGGATGGTGACCGATGAGCAGTAATGCAAAGTCCTGTTAAAGCTCTGCGTGATCTAAAACAGTCGGCAAGAGAAGCCGGAAGTAAAGAATTATAAATATAGAATGGCGGGTGGCAGACTTGAGTCTCGGGCGCGTAAATAATTTCCGAGTGATTTGATGTATCGGCGAGGAGGTAAAGAAACTAGGAATTAGGAGAGTATAAGTAATAGGTAATGGAAAACGGTGCGCGGCGGACACGCGAGATGAATCTGGTCACGGAGAATCATACACAGGCTTTCCTCGCGTATATTCGCCCACGCGGCAACGTCCCTTTGGGGCCTCGGAGCAAAAACGGAGAAGAAGAGAGAGAAAGAAAGAAACTTAAAGTCACTGCGAAAACGAAAAGGAAAGAAAAACTCTATATATATATGAAGAAAGAAAGAGAGGAGATCCGTGCGCGTTCTTTGCAGTGCTACCCAGTGTAAAAAAGCGAGGATGCAACAAAAAAGGAAGAGCACAAGAAGAAACCGGTTTTTTCCAGTTGGGCCAGGTCGGGGCGTCGAACCTTCGGACCGCAGCAGCCTCCCTCCGAGAATAACTTGCATGCGATGATGCTGCAGCTCTTTCTCAACGTGGTCTCGGTTGCCCTAGGTCTCTTTCAAGAAAAAAAAAGAAAACAGCGAAATGAAGGCTGATGAACTCGCGAAAAAGAAACCCTCACAAGCCTTAGAAAAAAATAAGAAGTCATTTAAATGCCAAACAGAGAAGGTTAAAAGAAAGCAAAACTTCATTGAGGTCAATGCCGTTACCTTTCTTAATCTTTTTTTTTTTTTTTCTTAATTTTTGACTCGTTTTCATATACATATTTTTTTTTTAAATCCGTCTCCCTTGTCCCTCGAGCAAGGTTACCCGCCATATTTTTTCCTCCACGTGACCTTCGAAGTCGCCTTTACACAAGAATAACAAGGGAACAATAAAAAGAATGATAGCCAATGACCGCGAGAAGTTCTTTCACCGGTGACCAGATCTGCTGCACATGCACAGCAGCAGTGAAAAATTTAAAAAAAAAAAAAAAATTTTGACCAAAAAATGAAAAGGACGTCGAATTTCGTCTTTAAACAATTATTAGATTTATTTACTGCCGATCATTGAATCTATGCTTTGCATATGCTCATATCCTATGTCCCGATCATTCGCGCGAGGACATGCGAGGTCGATCGAAACAGTGACAGTAAGGATGCTTACAGCAAATGCCAATTATATGAATTTTGTCGCTCCTAGAGAGAGGAACCGATGAATATTTTTCGATTGACTTCCTAACTCGCAGCTTTCATAAATTCATTTACTTGGGCTTTGCTTCATTCCTCTTCAAAATCCAAATTTCACTTCTTACAATCCTCTTTTCAATTCCTTAATCCTATTTGTTTCCTTAGATAATAATTAAAGTCCTGTGGATAAAGAAAGATGACTCTGATTCTCAGAAATAATGTATACTAATTTATTTGGTAGATTTTTCAACGCTAATTTGGAAAGTGGAGATTTTGAGAAAAAAAATTTTGATTAAAAACGTCTTTTTTGATTGACATAATTTCTGATTTCAAATATATAAGATCAGATTTGATTTTGCAACAAACACTGCTTGTAATTTTAAAAAAGTTTGTTGCATTTGATAATTTTTGTTCTATTACATCGTTAGTTTAAAGATTTAAAGATTTACGTTGAAAAATCCACTCCAAAAAAATTGTTGTACACTTAAATCATTTTTTCTTTTGAAACATTTCTCCAAATTCAAGAACCTATTTGTCAAAGATATTGCATATCTCATGAGGATCAAATACTTTCTGAAGAAGAGACCACTTAAAGAGCTGATCTTGGAACCAACAAGTATGTGATAACTTATAGAGTGTGAGAATGTCCAGGTTCTTGGCAATAAATCCCATTTTCATTCCAAGTTACCTATCCTATCCAATTTAAAAAAAAAACGTAGAAAAGCAAATCTGTGCAAGGCGTAGTCCGTGGTGGCGGCGGCAACGGTGTGCCTTAACTCTCACTGGTATCGTTCTGTTCTGTGCCCGCCTGTCCTGCGCTTCTGGTGCACTACTCTGGGTTGGTATCTGGGTTGACTCTGGTGTCTGCGTATCCATTGGACAAACAAGGAGTTGCAACAGCGTGTTGTGTTCCAGCAACACGCCGCCCTTCTCGGCGGCCCCAACGCTACAAGCTGTCCCATCTGTCACAAGCTCTTCCTCGGCGGTGAAGCCCTCATGGAACACATGAAGCACACCCACAAGGATCCAAATGCTTCCGGCGTTGCCAGTAAGTATTTTCAAATTTTGTCATCCTCCCTTTCTCTCACTCACTTTTCTTATTGATTATCAAACCTCATTTATTTAAATTGGCATCATTCACAGGCAAATGAAAATATTCAAAATCATTTAAATTTAATATTTTTCACTTCCTTATAGAGGAAGTATTTTCATTTGCTAACGTTTACTAATTGGGATATGTAGATTCATATTTAAAAAAAAATGTGTGAGAGAAAGAAAATGGAGGAAATTAGAGGTGGAGAGAAGAATATTCCGTGTATGGTCTTAAGGATCCTACATGCGTGTATACCCGAATCGCTTTTGGTGCGGGCAAACACTTCGAATAAATATATACACTATTACTAACTGGGTTCTACTAACATCGGAATCGTCTCGAACTACCTAAATGTATTATATTCTTCTATTCATTTATAATGCCTGAGAGAAAAGGACACACTTTATCATCCATAAACGAACTTACTTCAACATAGACTGCAAGTCTAAGAAAAGAAGTTTTGTTCAACTATATATCATCCAAAAAAACAAAAGATGTAGAGAAAAAGAATTTTTGTTTCATAAAACCATTCAAGAATTTTTTTAAAATTTTTTTTTGGAAGAAAAATAAATGTAAATACGCTTTTCTCTCAGACTATCTGAATCAAGACTTAGAACGTGGAACCATCAAAGCAAAAAAAAAAACAGAAAGCTCTGTTTCATTTAGAGAAAAATTGAAAATTCCACTTTCCAAGTTATTGAATCAGTGCATCTGTGAATGCGGTGAAGGCTTCTTTCATCGGGACGCTTATCCTGCTTGGCATTGACCTTGACATTGTGTCGCCCTATTGTTCCCCCCGCTGACTGCACAACCTCCATTGCCGGGGCTTACCTAGCGAAGAGACGGACTGCCAATCATCCATGTCCGGTGTGCGGTAAACACTACGTCAACGAGGGAAGTCTTAGGAAACATCTAGCCTGCCATCCAGAAACGAGCCAAATTAGCAGCCTCAGGATGTGGCCTTGTTCCGTTTGCAACGCAGTCTTCACGCACGAAGGCGGTAAGTATTTTCTCATTTCCCGCCAAAAAAATATATATATATTTTTTTTTTGCAAAAAGAAAATATCAAAATTTCCCCTTTATTTACAAAAATTTTAAATCCAATTTTTTTCATTTTGATTTTAGGCTTGCTGACACATATGGAACACATGAGAATGGATCCAAAACATCAATTTGCAGCGCAATATGTTCTTAGTCGAGCAGCAGCTGAGAGAAGAGAAAGGGAACTTCTCGCTGGTTCCAGTTTAGGTACATACAGAATTATTTAATTTACACTAAAGTGAAAAATGGCTAATCTATTGATAATTACTGCAATTATCAAAAAAAAGTTTATCTGTGGATTTATTACAATAATAAGAAAATATAAATAATTTTTTTTCATTCACTTACCAAGCAGGTCTCGGTGTTTTGGGGAGTCAAGCTGGAGGACCTCAGAATTTACAACAACCACCAATGTGCCCTTCGCCCTCGGCTCATTCAGATAGCAGTAGTGGAAACGGAAGACTGTCCTCAGCCGGTAGTGAACCTGGTACGCACAAATCACGTCGTATTTTATTGCTTCAAACTCAACTTGTACATGCAACGAAAACCCATAAAAACATAACTCATAACCATGTAAATTTTATGAACTAGCTCTCTCTCATATATTGCAGTATCGTTTTTTTTAACTCCCGATTTTTAACTCCATTGAATGGTTTTATGAAGGAATCTTGACAAGTCTGTATATATATTTTTATAATATTCTATTTTTAGGAAATTTACGCCTATAATAAATTTATAGTTAAAATATATTTTAATATTGATAAATCATCTAAAATAAAATTGATGATAAGGTGTTTAAAGATTGCATGCAATCAGAAGCAAACAATCTCCCCCCCCTTTTTAATGTTATTTGGAACTGAAGAATACTGATTAGAGTAGATTTTTGCGCAGGCACCGGTCTTCTCAACAATAACAATAACAACAACAACAATAATATGGCATCGCCAGGACCAAGTGGAAATAAACTCAGTGAAATGTTACGAGCGGGCAGTCAACCGGGTTCGGCGCAACACTATCAGGAACAAATGGAATCGCAACAACGTATGGCTGTTATGGCTGCTGCAGTATCAGCAGGTATGAAGAAACCCCTAATCGATATTAAATTCATTGAAAAGCTTTTCAAAGAGATTTTTCATTTTGCTTACTTTAATTTTTTTTTTTTTTACAGGGCTTCAAAACTCGGTGTCGCCAAATTTGTCATCAATGGACGTGGCGCAAATAGCGGCTGCAATGAGGATGGGTAACAATGGTGATATGAGTGGTGGCGGTCAGGGATCGACGGGACCTCAACAACAAGGGGTACAGGCTTCCGGGCCCGAGCAGGCTCTCAGGATGCACCAGGCGGAAGCACTTTTGCGTTCCCATACGGAGGCTGCCCTAAGGCTAGCGGTGAGTGCACCTTGCTTCCGCTTTGATCTCCAAGCAACCAATCAAAATTGGCTTTTCGGCAATTCGGCAAAGGTAACCGAATCACTCGAGGCAAATTTATAACTAATTTCGAAATCCATGAATGTTTAATGTTTCAGATGTCACAAGCTGCAGCGGCTGCCGCTAGTTCAGCAGTTGGTGGTGACATGAGGCATCATCTTGGACAGCATAATGGTGGCGGTGGTTCTGGTATGCCGGGACATCATACGAATCAACAATTATCACAACCCGATACACTATCACCTGACCTAGGTAATTATTGATATTATTCTATCAAAATTGACAATTTTTCCATTGGATTAAATTCAATTTTAAAAAACTTAACCCCAGATTCATTTTATTTTGCCCTGAATAGCAGAGCAGCTCAGACTTCAGGAGCAGCGATTAGAGCAGGCCCTGAGGCTTCACGGGGATCCTCGAGCGCTTAGTTTCAGTCTCCAGCATGTTGTTAATCAACAAACTAATCAACAACCATGAAAATTCAGTTACTACTGAGACGAGTGGACCCCTTGGACGACGGAGACGTCCCTGCAGGTTGAGCGAGATTCGCAAATGCAAAATCACTCAACCATCAATGATCAGCAGGTCTCTAAGTTGGCAATTCAACATCCCGAAGATCGTGGTATTAAACGAAAAGCCGACGAAATGAGTGGTAACGTCGAAAGCGCGTAGAATCATCATCATCATCATCATGAAGCTACCGTTCGTTCAAGAGTGGTCATTTCTCAAACACTCCCTGTCTCAGCAGTGCAACAAAATTCAAATAGAGAGAGAGACTTTCGCCGAACAGTTTTAACACACGTATAATAGTGGTGACAAAAAAAATTTGTTTTTTTCCCCAAAAAAACACGTGAAGCTGTTCGTTAATAAGCTCATAAATGGACTCGTAATCACGAGTTATTCTAGATCGTTGGACGGTTCCCAATCTCTGGCTCTGCGACGACCTGACCCGGAATGTAGACTGATGTTAAAATTCAAGACCTTCGAGTCAAAAAAAAAAAAATTGATCTCTACTGGGTCTTTGCCTTTTCTCATAATTACAAGCTCAGGTCTCCTTGTACAAAAGGGGCTTAACAAGGGTGTTCAGGACTCGTCACAGCGCCAAAGACACGGAACCCAAAACGTGCCATAATTTAAAAAAAAAAAATAATAATATTAAAAGTTACTAAGTTCACTGAAACGAAAAAGTAAAACTTAGAAACACTATCCAAGGTACTATGTATAAATAAATGGTACAAGAGCCACAACGTAATGTGGGAAGAAGGTCACGGGCGACCTATCTTCTCATTGAAGGCTCAACAAACTAAACTAAAGCAAACTTAAGGTTCCCTTATTCTTAATTCATGTAAAGTTTAAGGCGTTAATTCCCCCGAGCGTCAAGGTATCTCACGTGGATGCGCAAATTCGCGTGAGCCCTGCGCAAGGACTGACGGGACATAAAAGAGACGGACGTATAACTAGTAACTGAACACACACATATATACACAATACTCATATATAAACACTACAAAAGCCAACTGAAAGTTATACTTGAACATAAACACACTTGTGAAAAAAAAAGTAACACTAATAACACTCATCACGAAACATTCATGCGCGCAAATGTGCTCATTGTAGCACAAAAACTATTAGCTCATAAGCGAACAAACAAAATATAATTATTACAAACAAGTTATATTATATATATTATATATACATACAGAATAATATGAAAATAAAAATTAGAGCGCGAGAGAGCATTGTGAGAAAGCAAGAGAGATAAAAGAAACTAAATGCTAAATATTATAAATATATATTATATATAAATATTATAAATAATGAATATAGGGTCTATGAGACTAGATTAGTTAGGGGGGAAAAAGAAAAATGAATGAAAGGAACGCTCGCGCATTTTGAATACTTATTCACATTTTCCGAGATCAGGTGAAAATGGTCATGAATGAAGAATTTAAAAAAAAAATAAAATAAACAGAACAAGAGGTTGTGAAAATGTAAAAAAAAAATTTAGATAAGAATAAATCTCGGGAAAAGTGAATAAGCATCAATGCGCGAGCACAAGAGTATTAGATGTATGACTGCAAAACGTGAAAAAAAAATGAATGAACAAAAAACGAATGATTGTATTTTGAAAGCGAATGAATCAGAAAAATGGTACGATTGATATAATCTGAGGTCCTGTGATCGTTATAAGCGAAATATTTTTTTATTTCCGAGTAAACGCGTAAAAATTTGCGTCGTTTCGAACTTTTACTTGCAATATACCGTTACGTTCTCGCAATATACTTAGAAAGAAGAGGAAGAAGACGAGTATGAGATCAGGGGCAAAAAAAAGAAACTAAAGAAAATATAATCCAATTTCAAAAAAACAAAAGACTCGCGCCCTAAAGTCGTGATCGTTCGTGCTTTCGATGGGGAGATAATCTTTCGACGAGTCCAGAGATAAAAAAAAAAAAATCGCAGACCAAACGAGAGAACGCGACGTTAGGTTCAAGAACGAATGTGCGCGATAAAAAAACGATGTAAACAGAAACGTGGAAATTCGGTAATCGACAATATTTATAGATAAGCTCTAGATTAAATCTTTTTTTTTTTTAAAAAAAATACTCTCCTTATTTTCATAAAATGGGATTTTTTTTTCATTGAAATTTTTCATTAGAAAATAATCTTTGCATTTTAATTTATTTCATTATTTTTAATTTTTTTTTTTTTTGTTTTTAAATCAAGTCATTCTTAAATCAAAATAACAATACGTAATTTTTACTCTCGCGGAATACGTAAGGCACAGGAATGAGAGAGAAACAAGAGACTTTTCATCCTATTAAATATTTTTTCTTTTCTCGTCGCGTTTCTATAATACTATTACTATTTACTATACAAGAAGCACGGGATTTTTCGCGCTCCTCGGTCAATGACTAACGTCGTTTATATCTTCTTCGTTTGAAGCGGATGACACGCGCGTAAAAGTCGCGTTTGATCAAGGCTTTTCAAATATGTCGGAACGAGAAAAGTATACTAGGGATTCATCGTCAAAGCTACATTTTACGATCCGAAACGCTTCGCCTTTAGACTATTTTCAAAAATTAAAGAATGTTGGTACTTTTTCCAAATAAAAAAGAAAAAAAAAATTCAAAAACAAAAAAAAATAAAAAGACGTGGAATTTTTTTTATGTCAGGAGGTGTACGCGTGAACGATCAATTGATTGGTTCTTATTATATATATATATATATTAAAGAATTTTTTCCGTTACAGACAGTTTTTCCTCGGATCAATTAGTGTAAATACACATTTGATATTCACCTGCGTAAACGAGAATTATTACGGTAACTTAAACGAGTACATAATGCAATAGGGTTAGTTTCTCTGTAAATACCTAAAGCGTGGGCGAGTGCATACCCTCGCCTTCGTAACCAACGATAATATTTTATCGACCGAGCTTTCTGTTTAGTGTCGTCGATTCGAGCAAAGAAAAAAAAAAAAAAAATTCATCCAAGCACGAATCGATAGAAAATTTTTTCTTTTTTCATTTTTCAATAAACAATTAACACGCGGTACTTCATTCATACTGACACACATCCAGAGACACAAATTTACACATATGAAAAAAAGCATTGCGATGGATTGTACAGCTACGATAGAATAGAATGTAAGCCTAATATCACACCTCTACACATTTCGCACCACCGGCACAAAACTGGCCTCCACATTTTCGTAGGGACCAAATTTTTCATTTCTTCTTACATCATCAAAATTAATTTTCGATTTTCATCAAAGAAAAAACAAAAACAAGAGAACGTTGATATTGGACGATGAAAGAAAGTAGTTCAAAAAATTGTTTATGAAAAAAAAAAAAAAAAATTCTTTGGTCCCTAAAAGAGAAAGAGATAATCGCGTTTACATTGCAATCAATGTAAATACGGTCAGTGAGAGAAAGAGAATAGGAACAGAAGCAAGATCTACCCAAAATAAAAAGAAAACATTTAAAAAATATCCAAAAATTCGGTGCATCCAGCGAACGTGTACAATAATTTTCTTAACTCATGAAAAAAAAAAAAAGTAAAGCTACACAAATACAATAGCTCATAGTGTATGTTCTGTAATCGATGATGATAAGATAAAGAATAATAAGAAAAAAAAAAACGTTGACGGCCGTACCGGCGCGCGGCGGTCGTCAACAAAAAAAAGCACAAAAAAAAATTTACAAATATTATTGATTTACATATGCCCGTAACTCGTAAGGGGGCTGGTGGTGCAGCTTCATCACACTTTTTCAACTCAAAAAAAAAAAAAGTGAATCGTGCCAGGTGTTTGGGAATCGATAATACAAAATATCGAGATTTCATTCCCTCCCTCACTTTATGGCCGCAAGAAAAACAATTCCACACAGCTGCTAAATCGGCCCCAAACCATAATCTTAATCTCTTCATGTAAATTTGCTAAATGTTTGTAAACTAAAAGAAAAAAAAATGCCATAGCCCGGATGCGCTGGTGTATACTCCCAGCGCATACACATTCACAAATACGACTCGATCTCGAATTAAACGCAGTAAAAAAATCCGCAAAAGCGCGGTAAATTGGTAAATGCGCCAAATATAATATAAACATGACCAATACACAATCACACGCAGATAGAGCGACGTAAATATGCCCACATTTACGCGCCTAAAAATAAAAAAAATAAAATAAAGCCCTGGTAACCAAAGCGTGCTCCCCGCACGCTCCAATCATACAAGTTCATACACGGGAACGCTTTGCGCTCTCACAACACTATTTTACACTAATTACACTCTTACAAGTTAAAAAAAAATATATACACACTACGGATATGTAAAGCCAATTGATTTTGTAAATTGCCCCAAAAAAATTTTAATTCACAATTTTTCTAAAAAAAGAAAATAAATATTCGGCACAAGAGCGCTAATTGGGGCGCCATTGGCAGGGAAAGTCATTTTCCCTGCCAAAATTTGCAAAAATAAAATTCAATTTTCACATTTTCATACTTTTGGATGCACAGAGAAAAACAAAGAAAAAAAAAACACCAATCATGACAAATAACCAAACAAAACCGGATATGACGAAACTCGTGGGCTTTTAAAAGCTCCGCGATGACAACAACAAAACCAAAACGCGACGACGTTTAAGGCGTCCTTGCGACAATGCGGCTTTACAAGCGAATAAAAAAAAAAATGTTTGTTTGTTTTAAAAATCGGGTTTTAATTTTTTAATGAAATAATCTTTGCAATACGAATATACGATATACGTGAATCGGAATTTTGAGAAAAAAAAAGAATGAGACAGTAAAAATTGATATTTTATCAATTTGAAAAGATTTGCCAAATATGAAAATTCGATTAAATTCCGAAAAATCCGTCTACTGTATATTCGTATGTACCGTAAACATACGCAGCATATATATGAATACCGACAGTCTATAGCAGTGCGAGCGCCTCGCGGCAATTTTGCGTTTTCACGCAATGTCTGTCCGAGCCTCCGTGATTAAAAACCGGAATAAGTTGTTTCAATGTCCACTGTATAATGGGAGACGTAGTTTTATGGCAATATTTCTGATCAAAAATTCTCGTGAAAAAAAAAAAACAATGAGATAAACCATACCATTCAAAATCAGATCCATTGCGCGGCTTTTCGATGGAGCTTCCGCGAATTTCTCCAAAAAAAGAAAAATCGCTGAACCTCCCCGAAAAGCTATAGTCTTGAAAAAATATTCTCCGAAAAAATATTTCGTTAACGGGAATAAATTTTTTTTACCAACCCTCCAATTGTCACTCTCCGTATGCGAGTTCGAAAATAAAATCGAGAAAAATAAGGAAAAAGAAAATTGAATATGAAAAATTTTATAAAAAATAAAGTTTCATTGAAAAAAATCCGGTGAGTGGGTGCCTCTGTCAGGGTTTTCCGTTACAGTACAAGAAACGTTTTCACGTATAACTCACAATTAGTAGATACTATTAGTAGAAACAGTAATTACCGTGTACCGCAGTTAAACAATATTAATAATAAGAATACAGGAAGTCGTCTTTCTCAGTGTCTAATCCAAAAAACATCAAAACCGTATTTTTCGAGCGCCTTTAAACTCCGTCAAAAAAAAAAAACAAAACAAAATTCCCTCCCCTCGGAATTCAAAATCCGATATTCATCTTCCAATCTCCCACAGAAAAAAAAATCCAAACTTCCGTGAATTATCCTTCCCTGAAAAAAATGACGCTCCCTAATTACGAGTAACTTTTACAGTAAATAAATAATTACTAAATGTTTAGTAGATTAGCCAACGTATGTTGTATACTCGATTAAATAGACGAGAGACGATTGAATGGAGCCATATTTAAACTTTAATCAGATATTCAATTAACCGTAATCATTGTCAAGTCAAAGACATGTTAATTAACGCAGTAATACCTATCGCATACGCATAATTATTAATTACAGTAATCGACTATAAGACGCGATATAATACAAAATGTGTCGCGTTTACAAATACCACATAATAATAAATATCGCGGAGGCACTCCCTGCGGATTATTTTTCATTAAATAAAAGAAACAATAATCTCGATTCTCGAACACGAATCACGGAGGGTATTTCAAATATGTACACGAATTTAGGAAAAAAAGAAATTTCCAAGGCAAAACCAAAAAAAAAAAAATTATTGCAAAAAACATGTTTTTTGACAATAATCTTTTTTTTAATTCTAAAAACGTATACATATTTGAATTTAAGCCCCCCATTTCCCAAGTTCTTTTTTCAAATGCAGCCTTGAGTTTTTTCACTTATGGCATATTGCTTTAAAACACAAATACAAACCCCCTTACACCAATTCCATTCAAACTTCCCCATCCCCCATGAGAATGCCCCCAGTCTCAAATATAACGCGTTGTTCCAAGTTCGTTCGCGATTTTTCAATTTTTCAATTTTTTTTTTGTTTTTTAATTGGGAATATGTGACAAGAACGTCCTATTTTTATCTAACAATTTTTCAAGGAAAAATTACTAAATTCTTTTTATATTTTTTATTCAAGACTTTTATTTTTAAATTTCTTTTTATAAATTTTCATTCAAGTTTTCATTTTTGATATTATGATAATTTTTTGAATTGAATTCATTTTCGAAAAATTTCTATTTCTTATATGATTCTCTATTTCGAGTTTTTCTTAAATTTTTTATATTATATTGAAGGCAATTTGAAAATAATTTTTTAATTTTACATTTAAAAATTAAGTAATATTACACGAAAATAAGAAATTCTAAAATTAAGAATAATTAATTGGCAATCTATTTTAGAATATTTCAATAAATTTATTTTAAATAAAAAATTTTTTATTTTTAAATTTGAAAAAATATTTATAAATCATTATTAAAATTCTATTAAATTACCTAATACATTAATAAATTATTAATTAATACATCAATACATTAGAATTAATTAATTTTAGTTCTAAATTTAATTCCTTGAATTAATTGATTTGTAAAATTATTTTAATTTTGTTTCAAATTTTTCTATTACATTTTTCTCTATTAAATGTTTATATATTATTTTTTATACTTTAGTTAGTTATATAAAATATCTTTTATAA